AACATAATTAAGAAGTCACATACTTGGGACGTAGAAGTTTAGTTGCCTCTCCCTCCCCCCCACCCCCAGAAAAAATTGATGAGTTTTTTTTTCAAGTTATGCACTTGAGATTTTTGAGGCACAATATTTTAAATGTCTACTTAGGATCATTTATTTTCTTTCATTAAACAGTAGTTGAACACTTTATCCTTTAAGCTGTTCATTATTTCTTATATAAGCAGTCATGCAGTAAACTCCTCAGGCAGTAAAGTCCTGAAATGGAAATTTTCATATCTTCAAATGAATATAATGCATCTTTTTTTTTTCTTACAAGAACCATGCAATTTACCCACTCCTCTGTTTTAGTTTCTAAGATTAACATTACATTGAACAATCAACTATAATAGATGGTTATATTCTGGTGCCTGAAATCTATGCCCTGGCTTGTTTTATGTCCTCATGAACTTTTTTTACTTTGGAATAATGGAATAATTTTAGATTTACAGAAAAGTTGTAAAATGGTACCAATAGGTCCTAAATACCCTTCATCCGGTTTCCCCTAATATTAACATCTTAATTAATCTTGGTACATTTGTCAAAACTAGGAATTTAACACTGGTGCGATAATATTAACTAAGCCAAAGACTTTGTTTGGACATCACCAGTTTTTCCACTAATGTCCTTTTTCTGCTGCAGGATACTCCACTGCATTCAGCCCAGCATGCTTTAATTGAAATATGGTGTCCTGGCTGAAAATCATTCCTAAGAAATGTAATGACTAGGAACTAGAAAAACATTTATCGATTTAAAATTTGCAAAGATTTGGGGCGCCTGGGTGGCTTAGTCAGTTAAGCATCCGACTTTCGCTCGGGTCATGATCTCACGGTTCGTGGGTTCGAGCCCCGCGTCGGGCTCTGTGCTGACTGCCAGCTCAGAGCCTGGAGCCTGTTTCAGTCTGTGACTCCCTCTCTCTCTGACCCTCCCCTGCTCACGCTGTCTCTCTCTCTCTCCTAAAAATAAATAAAACATTTAAAAAAAATAAAATTTGCAAAGATTTTTTTCTCAGGAAAGAAATAGAGACATTAATTTATCCTTGGGGCCAACCATTCCTTTATTTGGGGAAAAATACTCTGAGGTATTTAGTTACACAAATATAAAGCAAGTACCCAGGCTGTGTGTCTGTTGAAGCCTATGGAACAGCCTTAACTTCAACTATGATATTAGCTGGAGGTTTTCAACATAAACTGAGTTCTGTTATGCAATTGAGTTGGGTTAAAGCTTTGAATGTGTACATGCTGGCTTTCTGCCTCTGTGCAAGAGGTCATGAGAAGAAGATGAGGTTTCCTAAAATGAGTAAACGTTCCCATTGCCAGTCGTCTGGGAGAAGACAGCCCTTGTGACAGAAAATGGGGACTTGGGAGGAAAGCCTTATATCTCAGTTAGGGATGAGAAGTCTTCCTTCTCTCCCAGCCTTGGATTTCAAGTAGTGAAGACAAGCTCAAGGGATCCCCAGCCATGGGAATGAGCCTACCCTGGCCACATGGAGACAGGTTGAGCACCACCAGTCTCATGAGGCTGATTTGGGTCTGCTGGGCTCTAAGAGCAGCAACCATTGAGATATCCACCAATTTTTACTTCATGCTAACCTTCTAAACAAGTCTTACACCAAATTGCAGCATAGTTTCAGCTATGCTATAGAGAGTTAAGGGTCAGGCTGGGGATAGAGTGGTAAATTAGAAAACAGTAACCTCTCTCCCAATGCCACAGGCAGTCTGGCTAGAGAAGAAGCTATAGGTTCCATATCTCCATATCTAAATACACATGAGCCCTCACCTTCAAGACCTCTAAGAAATACCTGGGCATATTTGATGGTAGTTAGCTTCCTGGAGCACCAGGTAGAAGCTCAAAGTCATCATAAAGTGGGTATTAAATGTGACTTAATTTCATGGTTCCAGACTACTAAGGTCTATATGTATAGGTTATACTAGTGTTTCTGCTCTGGTTTACTTTAATTGTTTAAATTCATTCATTCATTCATTCATTCATTCATTCATTCATTCATACTGTGTGCCAGGCACAGTTCTAGACACTGAGAATGAAAGAGGGAAAAAAAGGTAAACCTGACTTCATGAAAAAGTCCCTACCCACATGGAGAAAAATACATTGAAAGTTTCATTGTGTGCTTTCTAAATTCTAATGAGGAGTGTCAGAGAATTATAGATATCTTAATTTTTAAAGCTATGATTCAATTTAAATATGGTTTTGTTACATGATAAAGAACTCTGATTCAGTCCTTAAAAGCATTTAGTAGATGTGGTTCATCAGGAAGATTTGGGGAGCACATCTCCATCCTAAAATAACTTTCTGAGAAGAGAAAGAACAATCTCAAGACTTTTGGCTTTTCTGTACCCCAAGCTCAGTGGTAACCATTGAGATTTCCTCTTGGCTTATAGCCAGAATCTAAATACTATCTTGGCCACTCACATCTGAAAAAACAGAACAATAAAGTCTTTAGAAACAGAGAGTCTTTAGACATTTCTTTTGGAAAGAGCACTAGAATAGAGCTTCTAAATCTTCTAATTGCCCCTGCTGACGTAGTGTGTTATAAAAACACAATAGTGAATAGGCAAGGACCAGAAGATTCAAAATTGTCAAACATAGGAGAGATATTACAAATCATTTCTCTTAAAAAATATGGCTGTCAAAGCCTATGATCCTGATTGCACAGACATCTGTGACTAAATAATGTCAGTTATGGAAATTGCTGAAAAGTTATAAATAAAACATTAAATAATACAGTACAGCTAATTCCCCAGGTGTTGTTTCTATTCTCAAGTAAGGATCTACATGAACCAAGTGACAGCGTACAGCTTTCCTGTGGGTGTAAATCTCTAGAGATATTATTCACTCACATTTGCTTATGTCCTTTTACTTGATCAGTCGCAATAACATTATTATTTCTTGCTTTGTTATTTCTTCTTTCCAATCCACATCAGTAGCTTATTCTTATAAATAATTCAGCATCTATCTGGGCATTTGTTGGCAATATTATCTTACATGATGTTATATAGGAAGAGGGAGAGCAGTGATGCTTAAATATGGCAAGTAATGTTTCTTTCAGTCTTTCATGTTTACAAAGTGGTTCTGTCACATCCTTTGCCTCTGAACTTACACTGAACTTTCTCTTCCAGAAAGTCTGGTTGCATGGATTCAAGCCTGCTGCAAAATTTGATATAACTGAAACTTGATAAAAAGTTTCAGTCCAATCAAGTGTACGTACAAAATGATCTACCATACTTCTAATTCCTGGCAAACTTTCATCTGCTTATATATTCAAATAGGCTTTAAAGGAAGCACATCAGATTGTCTGTCTATATACACTACAGGGCAAGCAGAAACTTTTATTGCCCCCCTCCAGCAAAATAATAGTGGTCAAATGTTATCTCAGTCTCAATTAATCCCACTTAATACCAAAAGAATATATATGAAAGATTAAGAATATAGAAGATCTTATGAACACAGTACTCTGAATTCAAGTTTTTTCAAACAATTTAAGATAACAATGTTAAAATTTCCAGGACAATTTAGAGCCAGGTGTTCAAATTTGAGATTTGTAGTTGAAACCTTGCTGGTTTACTTCCCACAATACATCCTACATATTCCTGAAGCTATTGGGAAGTTCACCATAATTGGAACAGACCTTCATCTTCTGGTTTCTAAATAGAATTAAAGAAGACAAACTTTGAAAACAGAATGGAGTCCATTTTGAAGGAATTATATTTATACCTTTCTTGATTGACAATGACTGAGAGTATACCCTTTCTAAATTATGAAAACCTATACAAACCCAGGTCAAGTGTTGACTCCAGACCCTTTGAACATGCTATTCCCTCTACTCAGAACACTATGTCCTTCCTGTCCACTCTAACTTCTAATCCAGTTTCATTTCAACCTTAGCGTCTTGGCCTCCCTGATACCTCAGAAGAAGTACCTTACTCTTCTTGTCTTTACTGGCTGATTGATGTCTGCTTTCCTCAAAAAACATAAAACAGTTATAAAAAAGCAAAACTGTATCTGTCTTATTCACCACTGCCTAGCCATGTTCAAGGTAGTTGTTCAAATGGACTTGAATGAATATGTCAATGCATATGAGTGAAAATAACAACTATCACTTAAATGTTTTTTACTACATGCCAGGCTCTTTGATAAGTGTTTTATATATGAGAATGAATAGATGGATGAATGACCATCAAAAATGAGCACTAAGAACATTAGAATCCTCTAAATGAATAGTCAATCCCATCGTAAACAAGTTATGCATGAAACTTTTTGTTTACATAAAATTTAGAGGAAAGTTTCAAAGTCCAGTATTATATGATTTATGTAACTTGCAAACCAGAGAGAAACCCAAGTTTTGTGGGTAAACTGTTAGGATCAAAGCTTGGGGGGGAAAACAGTCAGGATGAAACAAGAAGGTATTAACAGTAGCCAGGGAAAAGAGGAGATAGGAGATAAGAAGCCTGGAGTAAAGGTACACTTACTCAGGTTCCCAGAGAGGTAGATTACCAAAAAGGGTTGAAAACTAATGCTGTATATTCTATTTGGCGAGCTGTATTTTTCACTTAGTACATGTTGATCACCTTATTATATCATTAAATGCTCCTCTGCAATATCTTTTAAAGTGGCTACAAGGATTCTATTAGGCATGTGCCATTATTTACCTATTCTCCTAACTTTGGACAACCTAAATATTAAGTTAATATCAGGTTTTTTTCTTCTTATCAACTTATAGCTAAATCTTTGCACATGTTCAATTATTTGCTTAGAATAAATTTAATATATTGAACCGACAAATCTATAGGTACCAAGATTTCCAATTGTATTGAGAAAGACATAGATTCACATATATCTTACCCAGGCTGAGATCATATCCTTCCTTTAATTCACAGAGTACAAAGCTGATAACTTCAAAGCAATTAACATTTATAGCATTTTTATCTACTTGCATTGAGTTACTTTACCATTTCTTCATCTTGCCTCAATCAAGGCAGCAGGATGTTAGTAATGTTAAACTGAAAGAAATTCTGGAGGTGCCATTTGGAGACAGCAGAACCGTGGTCCTATGGTTCATTCTTAACAGTGAATATTTAACATATTTGTCATGGTATTTCTTCTAATTCTGGAGAATTTTAAAACATAGGTATTTCAGTGATCATCTTTAAATCAATCACGGATCTCTCTACTATGTTTCCAAGAAAAATCTCTAGTTTTCTAGTTTAGTAAGATTTTTTAGAAATCATAACTGAATACTTTTGATTTCTTACCTTCTAAAAAGCAAACCAGGCCACTGCTGGCTTGTCTAGTCCAAAGAGTTTCTAAAATTAGTATGAAACCAGTCCTACTGTGATGTAATAATGAGTAGCATCACTGGTTTCATAAATAATAAGGCTCAGGATCTGTGAGAAAGTCAGCTGGGCTGACAGTTCTAGAAGAATGAAAGCTCCTCCAAAGTCAATGCTAGAAATAAAGATCGGGACCCATAATGTTCTGTTTAAAAGAAATCTATTGTACAGGATGCACTTCAGTAGTAGCCATTCTTCAAGTGCAATGGCATCCCAGACAACAAAATGCTATAGGACACAATATAAAGGGGGGGGATAAAGTACAGCTAATGAACTACTCTGTCTAGGATTGCTATTTGTGACAGGGGGCCTTCTGTGATACCAGTTGTTACTTAAAAAAAATCTTTTTTAAAAGAGTGATCTCAGGGTGCCTGGATGGCTCAGTCAGTTAAGCATCCAACTTCTGTTCAGGTCATGATCTGGCAGTTCATGGGTTTGAGCCCTGTGTTGGGCTCTGTGCTGACAACTCAGAGTCTGGAGTCTGCTTCAGATTCTGTGACTTCCTCTCTTTCTGCCTTTCCCCCATTCGTGCTCTGTCTCTCTGTCTCTTGAAAATAAATAAATATTTTAAAAAATTTTTTAAATAAAAAAATAATAAGAGAATGATCCCAATCTCAGAAAACACTAATAGATCTTCAAACTGTAAAACCCTCCTTGCTGGCTTTACCCTTTCAAACCTACACGTTGTCAGAGTAAATTCAATGGATGAGATGTATTTGGATCCCTTATAACAGAGATCTGGTAATTAAGAATCTTGGAAGAAAAAGCCCAGTAGGCAAGAACTAGTCTCAAAAGTTTTATCCCATTTTCATATTTCTTATAAAATTTGGTTTCCAGAGATGATGCCAGAAGAAGTAGAGAAGTGGCTTTCACAGCACTCTCACAGGGGTTTTGTTGTTGCTGGTTGGTTAGTTTTGTTTTTTGTTTGCTTTGTTTTGCTTTTGCAAGTTCATGTATTGAACTACTGTTGTTCTTCTGAAATGGTAGTTTTTCTCCCTTGAGTCCACTGCATCAAGTCATGGGATACCATGTTTTGAACAACACCCATCATAGGCCAAATGCTTTCTGAAATGGGCAGTACTCAAAGGTGATGACATGAAGCATTAAGACCCATGCTGCCCTCTTCCTGGAAAGCTAAATTCCACTAATTATTTTCAGCACTTTGCTGAAAGGCCAACAAACATTCTTCTTAGCACACACTATTTAGGCATCTTCATATGAAACAGATTCTTTGAAGACCTCTCCTTGTATCCCTAAGATAATGAAGGATCTGAAACGGTCACTACATCAGTTAATGTCAAAATAGTAGAGAGTAAAGCATCCCAGGTTTTCAACCAAATGAAGACGCTTCCCTCTGGTAGGTCACCAAAAAAAAGTGAATATACCCATCAACTCCAGAACTTCTCACAACAGGGTCCCAGAAAAGTGCTTCCTACCAAAAGATCCCAATTGAAAACACAAGAAACCAGGTTCAATAGAATAAGGTAAAGTTTCAACCTTTGGATAGCTGGCTCCAGACAGGGTAAACTCCACCCTTGATTTATTTATAGCATGCTGTTATCTCCTGGGTTGGCACAGAGACCAAGGGAAATCTGACCTGAGGATCTCAGGAATGCTGACTCTCAGGCTCCTGGATACAACTGGCAGACACCCCCAAAGACCTGAAAGTTCTATGGTTACTATCATGGCATCAATGTGGGTAGACCCAATGTTAGGTCAGATGCCATGTTTGAAAGGAAAAGCAGTGTGCTCTTCTGAACAAAGACTGCAGACTTGTATGAACCATGCCATGCTCCAACCCAGAGAAATATGACCCGTTTAGTAGAGCAGGAAGAGGTCATTTTCCAATCTGGTTGCATTCTAACAGAATGTTCCTAAAGTTCAAGAAGGAAACATGCTATATTTCTCTGTAAACAAAGTAGAGTGGGAAAGAATGATAAAACTCTCAGGAGTGAGTCTTGGCACACAGAGAAATTTTAAACGTATGTGGGTGGAGATACAGGCATTCTTAGAAGTGAGGTAGAGTCTCACAGGGATGCAAAATGAAGGAAATGTTTAGAAAAGAGCATCCACAGGTCATGAGCACCATACCTCCACCTGGTCTGCCTACTACAAACCCACAGTAAATGTTTATTGACTTGAATTAATAAGCTTCGTAGTTCTGAAACGTAGTCCAAGGCCTAATTAGCTAGTCCATGCAAGCCCTCAGGAAAGAAAAGTCATTCTTAAAGTACCTCCATTTTATATTTGGAGAACAAGACACATGGAATTGTTAAGTTACATCCTCACGGCACCCTAGAAGTTAAAGGCAGAGCCAAGACAAGGGCCCAGATGCGTAAATAGGCACCAGCCACCCCTGAACTGGCCACGTAATAACAAGGCCAGTTGCTGAGGAGGCAGGGACTCCAAAACAAATGGACTTTGAGGTCTAGACTCAGAGAATTTTTAGCTCCCTCAACAGACAAAGGAACTTGAAATTAACTCATCAAACTCTCCCAGAGCCTGGCTCAGGAAATTGGGGCTTCCGAGTGCAGGTGGGAAGTTATGGAGGAAGAATTCTAAGATGGCCTAAGGAAGACTGACAAATGGTAAGGTCTCACAGAAAAGGTATGAGCTCTGGAGGCAGACAGTCTTGACTTGGAATCCAACTCTATCACTCACTAGCTGTGACCTGAAGTAATTTACCAACCTCTCCAAGACTCCATTTTCTCTTCTAGAAAACAAAAATTGTAATAACCATCTTGCCGAGTTGATGTGGAAATTGAACACCAATACAAACACTAGTCCATTATAGGCCCTCAGAGACAAACCAACAAAATGCCAGTTAAAAACAACAATTCCATTAAGAACAGCAGAGCATTGGGGCACCTGGGTGGCTCAGTGGGTTAAGCATCCAACTTCAGCTCATGGTTCATGGGTTTGAGCCCTGTATCGGGCTCTGTGCTGACAGCTCAGAGCCCGGAGCCTGCTTCACGTTCTGTGTCTTTGTCTCTCTTTGTCCCTCCCCTGTTCATGTTCCCTCTTTCTGTCTCAAAAACAAATAAATATAAAACAAATTTTTTTAATTAAAAAAAGAATAGCAGAGCATTATACATATAGAGGATGTGTGCACCAACCTGATGGAAGGAAATCTAAAATAGTTAATAAATACATGGATAGGGAGGTATTCAATCTGAAGATCACAAGGACAATTTTTTTCAGTATGAGAAAAATGCTGTCCAGCAACTCACGAGCAGATGTCACCCTGGAATGATGCCCTTGACACAGGGCAGGCTGCCTTTCATGGTCTGTTATCTCTCTTACTCTCCCAATTATGGCTTTTAATATTGGATGTTCATCAGATACACCACATATTGCATGGTGGTATATCCATATATACCATATGGATGTGTTTCTTTTTTAACTGAAGTATAATTGACAGAATGTCACCTTATAGATTGCCTTTTTAATACAGACTCGCGAGATTGAGGGCAGATGTAAATTATACTTAAATTTGTTCAAAGACTTAAGAGCTTAATTACTTAATGCTGCATCCAGTGGCAAGATTTATGACAGAAGTGGCTACTGAAAATGCATTTGAGGGATTCTTACCTTCCAACCAAAAATTACATTAAATCAATGTAGTGAGATGCATTTGGGATTTTATTTGGCAATATAATGATTGATATTATCCATATCTCTATATTAAAGGGAAACCATTTCTTTTTTCACATGGAACTGATTTCAACAGGAATTATATTCCTGAGAGAGAGATACTCATGAGATCTGTGCCTGGGAGCCTCTGAGACTATAGATGTTAAATAGTATCAGTGTTGAAGGAACCTCAATGATCTGCTGAGAACCTTGAAATATGTACCAATTACACTTCTCTTGACCCTGGACTGCAGTCCAGGAGCCATGTAAAAATCTGGGATAATACAATGACCATTTATAATAATTTAAGAATCACCTCCAAAGGGCAATCACATTAAGAAAACAAAATAATACAAAACAAAACAGGATAGTGGAGACAACTGGATTCCTATTAGAAAGTTAAAAATCTTGGCAACTTCTTACTTCTTCAAGATGATGTAAGTCAGAAGACTTCAGATTAAGGAAAGCCAGGAATATAAAATCCAGGGTAGGTTTTGAAATTAAATCTACCAATTTATGGTTTCCTTAAACATAATTGAAGCCAAACTCTTAAGGGGACATTTTCACAATAAAAAAAAAGTCAAGCAAATTCATCTTCTAAGACATCAAAACTCAACTGTTTTGATCATACAGGACCCTCTTTTCTTCAAAATTAAATTTCACATTAGTAAATTTTGATCAACAAACTAGTCATAGTTTCCCAGATTTCCTGCCCTGAATGGCTTAGAGGGATACTATGAAGTCAGGGAAGTTTATAAGGGCTTTGCTTTGTCTGTCTTCCTCTACATGTTGGTGTTTCATTAAATTCCATCTTTCCATCTTCCACCATCTTCTCATCTCACTCTACAGACTCTCCCTGGGTGATCTTGTCAACTTCTCCCTATGTGCTGATGACTTTCAACTCTCTACCTACCTCTAGCTCAGCTCTTTCTCCTGAGCTTCAGCTCATATCTCCAAATGCTTCCTGGGCATCTCTGCCTGGACACCCCATTCTCAAATTTATCATGCACATCACAGAGCTCTTCTTCTCCATCAAATGTACCCCTCTGCCACCTTTCTCATTTTTCTTACTGGTCCCAAGATGGGTCCAATCACTTAGGCAAGAAACCTGAACACAGAGTATACAAGCCCAGAGGAGACTTCAAGTATAGTAACAAATTTACTTCAAGGTAGGAAAGCAAGGAGGCATTCCAAGTGGCATATGTAATTATAGAGACACCAAAATGAGAATGAGCATGGCATGTGTTTTATTAGTCAGGATTGGATAGGCTATGCTGAGATAGTAAATAAATGCCATAATCTCAGTGGCTTTTTGTTTTTCTCTTTAAAAAAGATCTCTTTAAAAAGGAC